ATTATGCATGTGTATATATGTGTTTAGGTGCATATATATGCACAGTTAATGGGAAATTCCTTTCACTTAGCAATTAATTTAGGAGTCTTCAGTCTGTGTGGCATCTTAGAGGTCATTCTGCACCACAGTGTTTTGTATTTTCTGCTGCATTGATGCCATAAAAACCCATAAAAATGCTAATTGCCCCAGGAAGATGCAGACTGTTTATAAGTGTGTATGGGATTGTTTTTCAGCCCTGTGATACAGAAGGAGGTGTTATTTCAGGTTTGTAATTTGAATGTGTGCGTAATTTGAATGGATACAACTTTGACAGTTTATTAGTTAGAAAAGAAGAAGAAGAAAAAAAAAAAAAAGACAGCGCTATGTCGTTCTTTAGCGAATTGATTGCCAGAAGCATGTTATTGACTTTGGTGATAATATCATTATATATTTTACAGTCGTAAAATCAAGAAATTCAGATTATGCCCCGAGGGCTTCACACATTTAAATAAAGGATATAGCCATTTCCAGGGTTATTGGTTTAGATTAGCGGCTGCTACGAGGAATACTGAGCGTGTTGTGAGGAGGACAGAAAGAGCAACAGTTCTCTCACTGCAGCGGGGCTGYGCTTCATTTTCTTTTTCTATTTATGAAATGCACTCACTTACACATCCCCTGGGAGGATGAACAGCGTTTGCTCTAAACTTTAGCATATTAATACAGTGTTAGCTTGCTGTTCCGTGGGGCTAAGAGCCGGAATCAAGTGTAATCCTTGGCTTGTACCAAGAGCGAGGATAAGGGTTCTCAGAGCACTCACTAAAATGTGCMGTGCCTGGGAACCAAACCTGGGGCGAGCTGCAGGCTGGGGAATTCAGAGCAGTGTGGGGAGCCAGAGAATCTGACACAGACACAGCTCTCCCTGCGATGGCAGAGACAGGGCACGGTGCTGCCTTTGGAATTCACCTCGAGCTGCTCCATTCTGCATCTCCCACAATAGCTTTTCTCCCTCTTGGGCTATTGCCAGTCACTCCTTGGGATTGACTGGCTCGAGCTTCCTGGGTTCAGTACTTGGGTTTTGTGTTTGGGGCAGTCTCTAGCTTGCTTGAGCTTTAATTAAGGTATAGTGCCTTGAATAAAAATGATTGACTGCATTACAAACCTTCTTTACGACTTCTACAGTAGCTTTAGTGGGATGGATAAAGTGCCTTGATGCTGATGATGCTGACAAGCCTCTCTCCACTTCAGATAGAAGCTTGGGAGCTCWTGGCATCACCCAGCTCTGGGGATTTATTGTTCTCTTAAAAGACCGTGAAGGTCCAAGTGCAATGTCACAGCTCTGCAGCAAAGGTCATGTTTTCCTTCTCACGAAGAAGCAGGGGGTCCAGCTGGAACACAGATGGCTCTGGGGTGTGTGGTGACATCTACAGAAGTAGATAAAAATAAGATAATTACTCTCATATTTACATTCTGAGGGCCTCTGAGGATTATAAATTTATACACTGTGAATAAAACTTTGCCTGGATTAAGACTGGCACGTTGTCTAATGAAAAGTGATCACCTTTCTAAACTGAATTTGTATGGCTTTTTAGAGGGTTTCTAGCTTCTGCATTTTTTCTCAGTTTGTGGCATGAAAATCAAATTGCWTTTAGTTTTGATAATCTTGTTCTATTTTGGATTGTAAATTGCTTGCATTGAGTTGTGAACAAATGCCTGGGATATTTCTTTGCTCATAAAAAACATACTGTGAAAGGGCACTTTAGAGCAAGCCATTGCAAAGTACATGGGTCTTYGATACAAACATTTAATTTAGGATCCTCAGTTCCCTGGGCGTGTTCCTGGCATGGGCACAGCTCTCTGGTTTATTGTTACCACTCACCTTCCTCTGAAGCTTGGGAAGAATTACAGCCTCGTAATTCAGGCTCCTCTTATTTATGCAGTTTCAAATGGAGAAAGAACCTTGTTCAAGAACTGTCATTAGAGAAAACCCCACCCTTTTTTGTTTCAATGATGAGATGTTTATGACAGTCTGGACTATCTGCCTTCCAAGTGTCCAGGGTTCAAATGAAGCATCACCCCCCATAAATCTCACCCCTCACGGGTGCTGTAAAATCAGCTGTAAATTCCCAAGCAGGTAGGAAGCTTTTCAGTGCTGATCAGAGCACCAAAATTGGGGACTATGAATGAATATAGAGCAGAGGTTGGGTAGGAATTACAGCCKTGGGTGTGTGCTGAGGAATGGTGAYTTRCAGATGGCTGATCCRCAATATAGGGCAGCRTTCATGTGCGTTCTGCAYGGGACATATGCTCTGGGGTTTCACGGATGAATTTGTGGTCTCCAGCAATTTGCAGCTTCCACCGCCGTTTSGAATATCTACAATCATTTTCAGGTTGATGATTTTTCCCAGTCATTTATCCCAAAAGCACTTCATCCTGTTTAATCTGGGTCATAATTGACATGGGACTTGTGCTTGAGCAGACGCRGCCGTAAGTTGTGTTTGAGCGCGCTGTTAATGGCAGGGATTTAGTTACGTGCAATAAAATACAGCAGAGGTTGAAAGAAGTATAAATGTTAAAATAACAGATGAATGCAAGGTCACAGCCATTACTTGGACCCAGAAAAGGCTCTTGAACACTTGACATGCTCCTGCTGTCAGCTCACAGCTGCCTTTGGCTCTAACGAAGACGTAAAGCTGACGATTTTGGGTAAGGAAGCTGCTGGAATTGGATGGTATTTATTGCAAATCAACAGGATGTCTTTGCAAGTATAAAAGACATATGGAAAAGTCCACTGTTATTGTTGTACTTTGTTGTGTCTCCAGATGTTTTCCCTCCTGCCCCGCTCCGGAGGCTGAAAGTGGGAAATGGTTTTTCATTGTTTTTAGCTGATGGTGCCAACATCTGSCTTGATGTTTCCCTGGAGAATGATATTAGCACTGCTGAGAGTTTCTGATCCGTCACTTGTGTCTCATTTGCCTTTTTTTCTTTTTTTTTTAAATACAAGAAAGTGTAAGAATATGAAGTTTCAGCCCTGCTCAATTCTTTTGGGGGAGCAGGGGTGACAGGAAATCAAGGGAAACACTTGGGTGGCTTCTGAGCTATCACAGCAGCACTTGGCTGCTTTATTTTTAAAGGGCTACGAATGAGGCATTAAAGCATTGCTCTGAGCTGATGCTTTTCATTGAAAGAATTAGTATWTGTCAGCTCAAACATACTTGAAGGTCTCAAAATGCTTAAAATAGCTCTGGTTTTTAATATACATTTAATCCATCATTAGTTCACTGTGCTGTGCTCTGATGGGAAGGGAACTAAATGAGTATCTTCGTTTTGAAGTGCTCTTTGCTGGTCATATATGTTCATAATAGTATTGTAAAGACATGAATTCCATAATTTTGAACCTCATTTATTGATTGATGTGATAGGTGTGTGAATTAACAAAGTTCACCTCAGTGCTGATTGCTGGAAAAGGTGCTTTTAATAGAAATGCAAAACAAAATAGTATTTTTTTTTCCCAAAGCTTTTGTACTTCTTATCAATAAACAGCTGTACAGTATGAGGTTATATTAATCTCAATATATGAATAATATTATATTAATAATATTAATTTTTTTGCGCTTACATCTGACCTTTTAAATAGGAATGAGCTTTGGAGAAAGTTTGGGCCAGAATTCCCAAATGTAGACTAARCCTAGATTCTGACCTGTGGTTTCTTTAGARCAGACTGTGGTTCTTGGYWCATTCTTTTMCTTTAGCTGCAAGAATCTGTGACARGAGCCCTAAGRTGGCAATAGTGTAAATTTTAGCMATRTCTGTCCACRTTCAGGCAAGGTTTTTTSSAGGAGTCTGTTGGGTCCAAGAAACTGCAAATTCTGTAATATCTCACCATTTTGCCTGCTTCTTTGTGCTTTGGATGTTGTTTGTTTGGTTGCAGTTATTTACAGCTCACTGCTGGGTTTGGTTTTTTTTTTTGAGATCCTAGCAAGAAATTCCACAGGCAGCTGCAAAATATATGTTTAATCAATTTTAGGAAGACTGATTCCCTAACTAACGTATTTCTTCCAGCTGAGGCACAGTGAAAACTGTTCTTCAGATACTCAGGGAAGGAGGGGGGGAAGTTTTCCTGACAAAGATGTTCCTTTTGTGGGTTATTGTGGTGTCACAGCCGTGTGGTTCAGGTAATTTAGGTACAGTGGTGTCATGGTTTARCCTCACCTGACACACAGCACCACACAACTGCTCACTGCCCTCCCAAAAGGAAGAGAATTGGAAGGGTAAAAGTGAAATAACTTTGGGGTTGAGCTAGGAACAGTTTGATAGTTGAAATAATAATAGTAGTAGTACTTGTAGTAGTAGTAGTAGTAATAACAATAATAATTATGTAATGAAAGAAAAAAAAAAAAAAAAAAAAAAAAAGAGAAATAAACCCCAAGTTTTTTTATTGAGTAATGTCTTCTTGCCCTTTTTTAAACTTCAGGGTAAGCCTGCAAGAGCAGCCTTTGCCAGTTATGTTGTTTCCGTATATGTTAACGTGCAAAAAGAACAGAACGAGGAGTTCTAAAGCAGCAGTATTCTGTAGGCAAATAACATAATTTGGTTTTCCATCTTTCAAGTGTTAATAGTGTAAATAYTGCTCAGATGAGTCAGTTTACAAGGAAATAGTAGCACATTTCTGTTAGAGTTTTGCTTGCAAAATGCGGAATTCTCCTGTGTATTGGGATTAAAAACAACTCATACAGATCACAAGTTTTCRGATCCACGAGCTGTGATTCAGGTTTATCTCCTACTTCTGTAAACCTAATTTGTGTGCAAATTCCGTGCAGGAGATTCTGTACAGCAACAGTTCCACTGCGAATTCCTTTGAGGTGGCGAGGCCAAGAGGTTTTATTGAACGAGCGTTTCCTTCTAATTCCATTGAAATGTTTGCACAAAATGTTGTTGGGGTGGGAGTTAGATCTGATTTGCCTTTTCATTGTGTTTATCTGTTTGTTTTCCCATAAATGGCCTGGTTTGTGTTGTCTCCGCAGGTCAGGATCGCAGCGAAGCCACTTTGATAAAGAGGTTCAAAGGCGACGGTGTCCGGTACAAAGCCAAGCTGATCGGGATAGATGAGGTTTCTGCTGCCCGAGGGGACAAGTTATGCCAGGACTCCATGATGAAGCTCAAGGTGCAGTGAAATTTTCAATATTAAGAGTCAAAGGGAACAAATTTCAGCTTCAACTTGACACTCGTCCTCCTTTGGTGACACTGAGCCTTAGTCTGGTTAATTATGTATTGAAATCAGTCAATTTTGCATGAACTCCTGGCTGGTATTGCTTATCCTGGGTTTAATTTTAATACATTATCTCTGAGTTCTGTAGTTACTCGGTGATTGACACCACTGCAATTTGTCTACAAATTACAAACAACACACTGCAAATTGAATAATTTTATTATGCAAAAGGGGAAGTGAATTACAATGGAGGAAAATGGGATATCAGAGGGTTTTCTATGACATTTCTAATCAAGTATAGCACTGCCTCTGGCTGTTACCKCCTGTGAGTGACAGTGGTGGGTGTAGTTAGCCAGATTTAGGGGGAGCTGGTCTCCTCACTGGGAGGGGGATGTCTGGCACCAGCARTGGCAGGGCTGATGTGTTACAAAATGAGGCAGTGTGCTGAGAGGATGGAGCATGAGAACATAACCAGGGGTCCCTGGAGTTTTGGGGAAGAAGGACCAAGGCAGATTTGGTTGTGAGGTTGGAGTGTAGACAGAGTGTAAAATCCCAGCGGTGTCAAGGGTGGGCTCTGTGGACCTCAGAGGCATCCTGCTCTGGCCCAGCCTCTCTGAGAGCATGGAGCAGTCTGTAGGAATCATTCTGTCCCTCCTCTTGGGCATGGGGAAGAGCTGCAGTCCTTGGGAAGGAAGGAGGGGCTGTGTTTTCCTGGAGTGCACCGTTGGCTGTCAAATTCCCATCTCCCTTCTGCAATCCAGGGTTACAAACCAGGCCTAGCAGCAAACTCTCTGCTGTTTTTCCCTTTTTTTTCCCCTCCCAGCTCTCTCCCCAGCACTCTGCCTAGAGAGCTGATGGATTTTCCATTGCTGGGTTTTTTCGGGAGTAGAAATCACTAAATGGTATCTTGTGCACTGCCAGCCCGCGGGGTTCCAGTCCCGACAATCCGGGAGGAATGAGTTATTCATTAGGGACACAGCACGGGGTGACACTCAGCTTATGGTTCAACAACCTAAAAGCAAGATCTGGGAGATAATTTACAAATCAGTTCTATGGCAGGCAGAAATTAATCTGCTCCAAAAGGTGCTCTGTTGGTGTGTCAGAGCTGCCACAATATTCCTGCCTGATTTAAATGTGTGCTGGGTATTTATCATCATTTCATAGTTCCTGGGACTTTGTGGGGACAGTTGTCACTGTTCTGCTGCACAAGCCTTTTTGTCTCTCTCCTTCATGGATTAATATTTCATATCTCCCAGGTGCCTAATTCCTGTTTGCAGGTGGCAAGATTGATCTAAACAGTCCTGGGAAATGACTAAAAGTGTTAAATGAAAGGAGTGTTAGAAATTAATGTTTGACAGGAGAGCACCAAGTTATGAGCTCTGGAAGCTCAGTGTTCCTACAACATGAATTTTAAGGCCACTCATAAAGTTTTGGGGTGACTTTTGACATCGTATCATTGTAATGGCAGCAGTGAAGGTCTTAAAACCCAAGTTAGTTGTACTTGAAACATGTTGGAATTRCAGAGAACCAGATAAAGTCTAAATATTTTCCTATTTAATTAGGTGTACAATTGATTATATTTGATCTTAGTTCTGTATTATTGGTCAGGCCAAGCTCCTGAGAAGGTGGAAACAGAAGTAACTATTCTAATTACACTGTGGGACAATAATGCATGAGAAGGTATCAGCAATTTCTCTTACAAAGTAAAGATATGAGATCATTAAAAAAAAATCCTCAATACCAATTTTTTACAGCACAGGTGATTTTTAGAAGAACATTTTTCTCCTATAACAGCTTCAATTTGCTTTTTCCAGATCAGTGTGAACTAAGCTGAAGTTGTTGGCATTTTCTCTCCTCTGCTGCTTGTTGGGGTTTTTTTCCTATTTAAAAAAAATAAATAAATAGCTCATAGCTGGGAAAAGTGTGCTAGAAATGACCTTCAGCTTCCATGAAAACAAATTTCATGGAGGATTAGCTAGTGCAGGGGTTGGAAGTGGGAGCACATTTGAAATGCTCTCTGGGTAGCATAAAGAGATGTGATACCTTGAAAAAAGGGAGGAAGCCAGAAGCGAAGAGGGGACTGTTCCTGGAAAGTTTTAAGTTTTTCTAGAAAAGCAGTGGATTGTGCACAATCAGATCTGTGCTCTCTGCTGGAGAGTTGTGAAACCAACCAAAACTTCTTTTTGTTTCCACAGGGAGTTGTTGCTGCGGCTCGATCGAAAGGAGAACATAAACAAAAAGTCTTCTTAACAGTTTCCTTTGGGGGAATCAAAATCTTCGATGAAAAGACAGGGGTAAGTGAAGTGATGTTGGGTGGCTCCTTTCCAAGCATTTCCTGGCTGGGGTGGGGAATCTCACCAGTGCAAACACGTGTGAAGCATCTCAGAAACTTTGATAAAGGGTTCTCATCTGTCAGAGCRAGCCACTCACTGCTTGTGTATTGTCAGTGGTAGAAAAGTCATATTTTGGATGGAATGGGAGGTAAAAGATGCTGGAAAATTTGAGGTTGGCTGTGCCAAGCAGCAGCTTCCCCAGCAGCATCTGGTTGAGGAAGTTGCAGAGACTCTGGTGCTTTACACAGTTTCTGCCACAGCAATACCATGTTTGATTTTGTTAAATTGTTCTAAAAGAAGAAACCTAAGCAAAACATTACACTACTTAGAYGTAAAGCAACAACACACAAACTGTTTTAATCATAATTAAGAAGATTTTTACAGCAGTTTAAGCTCTGCCTTGAATTTTAAAAAGCTCTTGATTTAATCTTTTGGAAGATTAACTATTTAACAYGGTGCCAGAAATAAAACCCTACTGATGATAGATGAAATTATCTTTGCCAGTTAATTTATATTATTAGAAAATCAATGTCATTGAGCTCACTGATACRTAATACGAGTAGTTAGTAATGAAAAGCTCATTTGGGATGTGCTGTGTGAAGTATCCATGCAAAAGCCATGTTTYAGAGGGCATTGCTGGGGTTACAGGAAATGGGAAATGTCAGAATTAGGGCAGTGGGTGCAAATTGCAAAAGTTGCTTTCCTAAGATTAAAGCCTTTTATTGGGAAAATAAAGAAGAGGAGAGAGAAGGACTATTCCTTTTTGCACTGTCTCTGAATGTTTCTCAAACATTGGATTTCTTTGCATAGAATAAGGAGGGAAAGGGGCCGTGTTTCAGGAGCAGAGGTGTGCTGTATTCCAGTCACCTGCATTCTCTCCTGTCTGCAGCAAGTGCTGGGGACACAGGAGCAGTCTCCYTCATTTCATAACTCTGACATCCCATACTCTAAATCTGACATAACTATATCATCCTCACAGTAAACCTGTCACTCACCTGCTGAGGCTTAGAATGAAACCCTTAAATCCACCTTGCACATGTCTGCCCCTGAGCTGCTGGAGTGATGGACAGGACTATTGAGTTGTTCTTCCTGGAGCAGGGCTGTGACAAAGGGATGTGGGGAGCTTTCAACATCAGTTTTTTCGTGTTGTTTTCGGAACAGCTGAGTCGTGCTTCCCATGCCAAGAGTTTGGAGCAGGGATGCATGAATCCTCTTTTTCCCAAAGTTTCACACCCTTGTCCTGCCCATTTCATAGTCTCTCTCATCCTGCTTGTCTCTGCTTTGGCAACCTGCAGTTGTCATCTCATTCCCATTCTGCTGGAAAATCCCCCAAGCTGGCAAAACTAGGGGTAGTGTGGTTGTCCCAGTCTGGCTTTTGGGATGGGAAGGAAGTATAGAGGGCTACAAAACTGATCTTCTGATATCCATGTTAAACTTCAGAGTTTGAAAAGTTTGGAGTTTGGTGTTTAATCTTGTGCAGCAGGGAAAGTTACAGCCCTAAATAGAGATAATCTTGCATTTTCTTTCTCCTCTTTTAACAACCCTCCCTGTSCCCCACAATGCTTTTTTCCTTAGTTGCATTTTTATCATTTTGGAATTCCCAAAAAGATATTTTGGGAAGGTTATTCACATCTCTATAGTGTCGTTTCTTAACTTCTGCCATTGTCTATTGCTGTCACGTCTGCCCCAGTGCCAGTCTGATSTGATAGAAAAGAGAAAAAATACCCATGAAAAAAAAGTGGGCTTCTTCATGTTGAGTTATCTTGTAGACTACCATTGGATTTTAATTTATCACAATAAAAAATCAATTTGTAGCTCAAAACTAGCAAATTTTTTTTTAAATTGGCAGTGTCATAGCTGACTTCATACAGATGATTTAGGGGAATTGCTCCATAATTCGTTACAGATGAAGGGCTCTGGTTGGGTTACTACTGAAAATGATAAGCAGGTTTTTTTCTCCCTCTGCTTTATAGCTCTCCTTAATATGTTCCAGACATAATATTCATCAAAAAGTATTGATTTTAATAATGGTATTATTCCAGCCATCAGGAATTCTGCCCTTTGAGTAAATTTATCCATGAAGGAGATTGAGTTGAAGGTGGAATATCATTTGGAAAGAATATATCTCACCAAGAAAAATACAAGAAAGATTTGCTGCGAGTTTSCACTGTAGATGCAGTACAATAATGTTCATCTGTAGCACTGAAATAAAATAATAACAATCCTTTCTTATATTCCATCGTTCTGTGCCAGGGWTTAAACTAAACAGGTCCCTTCATAACATTTTCCAAGTACTTGTCAGTGTATTTAGAACATTATAGCAAAAATGGTATTTAATATGACTAACAGGATGTTCTCCTGTGGCATGTGTGCCAAAAATTGTCACTGCACATGGATTTTGACCCTATTAATCTTGTAAATGCACCTTTTTTTTCTGCTGTCAGATGTTTTCCATCCATCCCGTTTGCTTTCTCCAGATTATGTTTGCTAGATATATACCTTATCTGAAGGATATGGGTTTTTTTTTTGTTTTTTACCATAAAAACCCTACCATAATTATTGCTGAACCCAGACTTTCTCTACCCAATGCCACTTGAAAGATTCCATTGCTGCATGTTTTATGAAAATAATTTTTTACCATTTAGTCTGTCATATCCATCTTGGTTAGATCTCAMTGCTGCAKTATGTYCTTGATTAATAATATTTCATGAGRGTTCTTTTCTRTTTTCAAAAGCATGATCTGCAGAAGGCACAAACACCAATAATTGCATTGTGTTATTTAATATTCTCCCTTTTAGGGTGGAATGTAGCTGTTGGTGATTTGCTAAGAAAGCAACAAAAGCCATAACTGTGCACATAGAAGGAAATGCAAATTTTGTGAAGGCCCATCATTGTTGGTTAGCTATTTATGAGTGTTGTTTTGTTAATCACACACATCAGGCCATCTCCCTGTGATAGCTTAGTGATGCTTCATTAGACTTGCGTGACTAATCTGGGCTCTGTAAAGAGCCTGTAATTGTCTCATTGTTTATTTATGTGCCCATAAATCTCTGTTTACTGTAGGTTCCTTTCCAAAAATGTATCTGAAACTAATAATTAAATCCTCTGAAATGCTTGGGAAAAGATTTCCACTTCCACCTCCATGCAGTGAGGTGTGCTTTTAAACTCTCATTGTCTCTAATTGCAAAATGTAGTTGACTTCAATGGCAAACCGAAAAACAAATGAGATAAAAGCAAAAAATTATTATTTGGCTTTAAGCAAAGAATTATTCCTATCCAAGTAAAATTTTGTATCAGCTCATGGATTTGCAAATTACCAGAGAATGCTGTAAAATACAGCTCTCTATGAGCTATTGTTGTGGCTAAATTATTTATCTGGATTCCTCCATTGGCCAAAGAGCAGGGTGGATCAGTGTCAGTCTCTTGGTTTTTTATGGGAAATTCCCTAAACAGAGGGATTGTAACCCAGCTGATGAAGATGACAATCATCTCACCATTTTTTTTCCTGTTTTGTAGCACCCTGAAAGTGAATTTCATTTGCATTGTCTGTTCTCTTTCAGAGATGTTGACCCCTTTCTTTATTAAAATAAATCTCTTGGGCCAGATCTGTGGAATTGTAACATTTCTAGGAATACTCTGGTGGGGTTTCAGTATTTATGGCAGAGAAGTATTCAGGGTGTTACTTGCATTTTATACATTTGTTCTGTAGCCATTTTCTTCAGGCTGTCAGTGTGAAACCCAGTAAGGGAAATGGTGGGTATAAATATATGTATTTCACCTTGACTATCTGTTCTTGTTGTCAGTTACTCCAACCTTCACTTTCTTCGCTGAAGATTTTATTTTTATTTTATTTTATTTATTTTATGTTTTTGAGGGTTTGTCTGTCTGAGATGGTGTTACTCAGTGCCCTATTCCACATAAGGAGGACCAGGCCTTACCTGCTGTATTCCATTAAAAAAAAAAAAAAAAGATCAATTTATTTTCTCATTCTGGCCACAGARCTGGTGATTGTGCTTCTTCTTTAAGTCTTAATGACATCCAGATAAATAATACACATGGTAGGTGGATATAATCTTGTTGTCCTTAGGTTGTTGTCTTTGAAATAATATTATGGCTCTCATATATTCCAACCAATGTTTTGGGTGCCAACATCTTGCCCATCTTCCTGAACTTTTTARGCTCTCTTGACCTTCTAAWGCACACAGATTTCTCAAGCTRTTTCTRCRAAGCATTTTSCAGCACATTCTGTGGCTTTATCTGRTTTGTGTGATAACCCCTGGATTTGCTRCTCTTCCCCATTCGACGTGAGTGATGGTGTTAATTATGCTGATAGATTGCTAACAGGACAGCTAAACTTGGCTGAAAGAAAATTTTAGCAAGATTAAAATTCTCGCTGTTGGCAGAAGAGGCCCTCATTTAAAATGTACYAAAGGTACTTCTTGACTTTGCTGGAAATCTGTTGGTTCTGGCATCCCTGACCAGAAATCGAGGTACGATCGTGGATCTGCAGTTATTCCTTGAAGCACATGTGCTGGAGCAGATGAAATGTCAAACTGTCAAAGCCTCTATCGCAGAGCGTCTCTGAGTCTTCAAAAATAGAAATAAAAGAAGGAATTAATTTYTTCCGCTCYCTGCCAGCTCYKCAKCGAGCAGGAGRGATGGGGTGAGGAGTTCACTGAGTTTTGTGTTTGCCAGAGGGTGGGACTGGCCAGGACAGTGCTGGTGTTCCCTGCCTGGGGCTGTCTCAGGTGGGTTTTGTCCCCTTGATGCTTTTGGAAGTTCCCAAAGTTCCTGCTGGTCTCTCCCTGGCTGCTCTCAGGTGCAGCCCTCTGTGAGCATCTTCCCTGATAGCAGATTTTGCACAAAGTCCTCCACCTCATCTCCATGACTCTTGTCTCTGCATTTTACCAGTTTTTCTCCTGCATTTTTCATCTGGAATTTCTAGTGTGCTCTCTGTCCTT